GAATAGTTGGGACTATAGCCACCTGCCACAATGCCCTGCTTGTTTTTCTCCCTCTTGCTCAGGCTGCTCTCAAACTCCTAAACTCAAGAAATCCTCCTGCCTTTGGCTCCCAGAGTGCTAGGATTACACACATGAGCCACCACACCCAGCCAGCTGCACCATTTTATATTCCACTAACAGTGCAAAGGATTCCAATTTCTCCACATTCTCTTCAACACTTGTTATTTTTTGTGTGTATACATGTGTGTGTGTTGATGATGGCCATCCTAACAGGTATAAGGTGATATTTCATCTCATTGTGGTTTTGATTTTCATTTCTCAGATGATTATTGATACTGAGTATCTTTTCATATACTGGTAGCCATTTATATCCCTTCTTTAGAGATATGCCTGTTCAAATCCTTTGCCCATTTTAAAATCCGATTATTTGGGGGGTTTTGTTATTGGAAGTCCCTGTATTCTGCATATTAATTCTTGTTAGATATATGGTCAGCAAATATTTTCTCCTACGCCATAGGTTGTTTCTTCACTCTGCTGATTATTTCCTTGGCTGCATGGAAGTTTTAGTTTTATGTAACCTCATTTGCCTATTTTTGCTTTGTTGCCTATACTTTTGGTGTCATATCCAAACAATCATTGCCAAGACTGTTATGAAGCTTTTCTCCTTTGTTTTCTCCTGGAGTTTTATAGTTCCAAGTCTTACATTAAGTTTTTAATCCATTTTGAATTGATTTTGTGTATGGTGTAAGGGTTCAATTTTAGTCTTTTGCATACAGATATTTAGTTTTCCTAATACTATTTGTTGAACAGATCATTTTTGCCCATTGGCATTCTTGTCAATATTTATTTCATCATATGTACAGAGGGTACCAAAAATATATATACACATTGTAAGAAAGGAAAAAGCTGTATTAAAATCGCATTCTTAAGTCACATTTGACTTCTGCAGTTATAAAAGGTGCTCATGTGATATGTAGTCATCTTTTGCTATTGGTATACATTAAGTATTACAATTTTAATACAGTTTTTTTCCTTTTTAAATATGTATATACATTTTTTGGCACCATCTGTATATGGGTTTATTTGGGGGCACTCTGTTCTATTTAATTGGTCTATATGTCTCTTTATTTCAGTACCATATTGCTTTGATTACTATAGTTTTATAATATGTTTTGAAGTCAGGAAATATGAGGCCTCCTTCAGCTTTGATATTCTATTGATTGTTATTCCGAGCTATTCCGAGTAACCACTTTTGTGGTTTCATATGGATTTTAGGATTTGTTCTTTCTGTTTCTGAAAAAGATGCCATTAGGATTGTAATAGAAATTGCATTGAATCTGTAGATCACTTCAGGTAGTATGGAAATTTTAACATTATTAAGTCTTCCAGTACATGAATAGTGATGTTCTTACATTTATTTGTGCTGTCCTTAATTTCTTTGAGCAATGTCTTGTAGCATTTAGTGTACAAGTCTTTGCCTCCTTGGTTAAATTTATTCCTTTTATTTTTGATTCTATTATAAATGGAATTATTTTCTTTATTTCTTCCTTCCCTTCCTTCCTTCCTTCCCTCCCTCCCTCCCTTTCTTTTCTTTCTTTCTTCTTTCTCCCTCCCCCACCCCTTTTTTTCTTTCTTTATTTCTTTCTCTTTTTTTGAGATAGAGTCTCATTCTGTTGCCCTGGGTAGAATGCCATGGCATCATAGCTCCCAGCAACCTCAAACTCCTGGGCTCAGCAGTCCTCTTGCCTCAGCCTCCTGAGTAGCTAGGACTACAGGCACTCACCACAATGCCCAGCTTATTTTTCTATTTTTAGTAGAGACAGGGTCTCCCTGTTACTTAGGTTAGTCTCCAACCCCTGAGCTCAAACAATCTACCCACCTCAGCCTCCCAGAGTGTTAGGATTACAGGCCCAATTTCTTTTTTGAATAGTTTACTATTAGCACAGAAATTCACCTGATTTTTGTTTGTTGATTTAGTATCTACCAACTTCACTGAAGTTAGTTCTATAATATTTTAAAATGTGGATTCTTTGGCATTTTCTACATGTAAGATCATGTCATCTGTGAACAGAGATAATCTTACTTCTTCCTTTCTGATTTTAGTGGCTTTTATTTCTTTTTCTTACTTAATTGGTCTAGCTAAGACTTCTAGTACTAGATGTGATGAGTGTGTGCATCCTTGTCCTTGAAGTAAATTAGAAACATTTTATCCCAAAATATATTTCTTTGACATAGTATTTACCATCTATACCTTCTCTTCTCTCTGAGGGTTGTTATTTGTCAGATTTCATTTACATAACAAGGCCAGCTTTGCTAGCTAATCAAGCCTCTTCCTCATTCCTTCCCTGTTTTTCTGCTTTCAAGCCCCCATTCTTTAAAAATCTCTGTATCTCATTGAGCAGTGGAATCTTTATTCGGAGATTCCCATGTATGCACACCGAAATAAATTCGTAGCTTTTTCCTCCTGTTAATCAATCTGCCTCATATCACTGATTTTTCAGCCAACCTTAGCAAGGCAAGAGCCTTTGCTCCCTATATCCTGTTGTTACTATACGAAGGAGTCCAGCTGCTTGTCACTGTCAGCCAATATGCAGAGACAGGGATAGGTCCACCAAACTGAATTTGTCAGAAGGCCAGTAACTCTGGAAAACAGGAGAATAGTCTTTCAATTCTGTTCTGCCTAAGTTACAATTCTAATAGTTTTTATAATGGGAATATAAGGAAACAAACCTAGAAAATTTTAACTTTATCTGATAGGAAGTAACATCAAAGTAGACTTCATGCTGAAGATGCAAAATATTTTAACAACAGAAAGGTCATTTTCACTTAACAAAGTATCTAAGAGAATCATTAAAGAAGACATCATATCATCAAAGTAACCTTTATTCTACAGATATCACAACACCTATTGTCTATGTGTGACTACTTCCTCAAGTGTTCTAAGATAAACATCCTTAACTAGATAAACAGCCTTAACTATAATCACAGGAGGTGTGGAGAAGGCTGAGCAGACTAGGTCAGCTGCACTGCTTCAGCTGCTTCTCGGACTCCACTTGCAGGCCGCTCTTCTGGCTTCACTGTTGCTGATCTTAGAGAAAATTTTTCAGGCTTCTGTACTGAGTATGATGTAGCTGTAGGCTTTTATTATGTTGATTTCCTACTATTTCTAATCTGTTCAGTGAATTTAATAATTTTGAAACAGGCCTTACTAATTAATAATGGAGTACAAGGTGAGAACTGTGGTAAGGGCCTAGCTAAAAATAAAGCCCAGGCACAACTAAAAATAATGGTAGTAATTGGCCCCTATCTCCCTGTCTAATACTCTGGAGCCATATAATTGGTGATCATAAAGATTCTTAGCTGTCTCCAGAGATAACATCACCTTTTTGAAACCTAAGAGTTGTTTCTGAGATATCTTCCAGGTCCTACATTCTGGTGGATTGGCTGAACCTTGTAGGCTGACAGCCCATACCAAGGAATTGACTCAATTGGCCTTGTAACCCCCATTCCCCTAAAAATCTGGTCCTGAATTCCAGTGGATCGGCTGACTCATCCTGGGGCCATACCAAGGGACTGATGGTTCTACCCCAAGATCAGCCAATTCTCTGCCCACCAAACTGTCTTTAAAAACCTCGTCTCCCAGACTCTCAGGGAGGCAAATTTGAGAAATTCCTCCTGTCTCCCCGCTTAGAGCTATGCAGAATTAAAAACTCTTACTCTGTCATAAATCCCACTGTTTAGGTATATTGGTTTCCTCTTGGTCAGTGGGCAAATGAACCTGTTTGGGTGGCAACAGTTTGATGTTGTTTCTTTTTTGTTTATAAAACTAATGTAAATTCAGCTTAATTACAATTTTGTCTAAATTGTCTAAAACATAATTATTATAATTTATGTCATTAAAGTTTCAAAATTCAAAATTTTCTAATTTTTTCAAATTCAGAGCAGATTATTTGGAAAATTCAAAAAAATACAAGGACATGAAGAGGAAAGTTACTGGTGATCCTATTGCTTAACCATTCCTTCAATTTAAATTCTGTGTCTTTTTTTTGCTCAGGTAATTTGGCCCAGACAAGAGCCAGGATATCAGTGGCCTCAAGATCTTTGCCTCCACATTTCAGTTCTGGGAGAGCCAAGGTGAGTAGTAGATTTGCACCCAAAATATTATGAAGCAGGGGTATACCCTTGTACCAACGGCAATACTGGATAAAGCAATATTACTTCCCTTTATCCCGCCTGCTGCCCTGAGCAGTCTGGTAAAACTGTGGAAGGCATTTAGGAATTCCGTGATTAGAAAATTTGATGGGTATTTTGAATTCTTTGTCTGAACGGTTACATATCTCTATCACTCTAAGACTGGTCACTGGTACCTTATTAAATTTGTTTGGTAAGGTTATGTTTTACTACATGTTCTTGATGCTTGTGGATATTTGTTAATGTCTGGGCATTAAAGAGTTAGATATTTATTTTAATCTTCACAGTCTGCGCTTATTTGAACAATTTCTTCTTATGAAGCCTTTCCAGATATTCAAAAAGTATTGAGTATTTTGATCTAAGTCTTTGGTCACTGAAACTATATAAGCACTGCAGGTGCCCTAAGCTCAGTGATACTGCAACGCTTGCAGACTACTGGTGGTACTGCCTTACTGGACTTGGGTAAGATATGGGAGAATTCCCTAGATTACCAGGCAAAGTCTCTTACTCTCTTCTCTTACTCTCTGTACCAGGCTACTGGAGTTAAGGGAAGAATAATGTGGACACTCCCTTATGGCCACTGCTGCTAGGTCTGTGGCAGGTTATATCTCACATGAGCCCAGTCTCCCCCAAAGCTTGTAGTGACCGTGGCCTGGCTGTTTCTGACATTTGTTCAAAGCCCCAGGGCTCTTTAGTCAGAAAATTTTGAATTCTGCCAGGACTGGTTCTTTCCTTTAAGGCAGTGTGTTTCCTTCTGGCCCAGGGAGGGTTTGGAAATGCTATCTAGGAATTAAGGAAGGCTTGGAATCAGGGATTTTAATAGTCTCCTTGGTACTTTATTTTACTGTGGCTGAATTGGTTCAAAACAAAATCCTCTGAACTCTTCCTTATTATTTTCACCAAATGAGAAGATTCTCCCTGAGTCCACTGCCTAGAACTGGGGGAGGTGTGACAGGCACTGGTTTTACTAGATCACACCCACTCCAATGCATTGGCTCTGAGCCAGCACAGACACAGGAATTGCTCAAGGACTGCAGCCTTTGTGGCCTGATTGCTTTCCAAATTTATTCCAGGCTCTAGGTCACTTTTGACAGTGAGACTAACTAAATTTGGGTTTCAGGGCAGAGGACTTCCTTTTGGCCTGATTGATCTAAATATTCCCTCTGTGAGTGTCAGTGGATTTCTGCCTTGTGTTGTGTTCCACTGTGACAAGACTACCTTGAGTTCCAATGCAAAGTCCCATATCATTCTTCCTCCCTCCCACATAAATTCTCTCAACACCCAAGCCAAGGGATGGGAAAGGGTGGTGTTGGCAATGCCTTTGTCCTTGATATAATGTTAAAACCAGGTCATGCATCTGATTGTTGGTTCTTCTGAAGCTTCCTTGCATGGATAGTTGTTGAATTTGGTGTTTGTTTGGAGGAATAATTGCTGGCTTTAGGTCCATAACCCAATTCGTTCAGCTTATTTGTGACTACTGTGAAGACTAACCAGCACCATTCACAAGAATCCAGGAAATACATTTGTGGATAGAGAGTAAGCTTGCACAGCTTGAACTGATTCACATTGTTCTGTAAGTTGGTTTTTTAGAAGGAAAGTATAGTGGGTTAGACAGACAAAGGTTTTATCTAGAATATTATTTTTGTTTCTGCTGATTATTTTGAAATTGGTTTTGTAGGGGTCTGGGAAAAACTTCTCTGTTATCCTTTGAAGGTTTGTTGAAAATTAACTGATAAAAGGCAGATTCATAGGAGAAAAGATATTCAAACTTATTAACATGCCAGAAGGAGAATCACAGAGTGATTACTACACAATGGGGAACAGACAGTTATATTCCCTTCTTCTTAGAGGAAAGGGAGATAGAGAAATGTGGATGATTTACAGGGATAGTAAATGATTTTTAGGAGAATTCAGTGGGCTTGAAGAGCATACAGTGGCCTGAGATAAAGTCTTTTGGACTTGCAGAGCAGAAAATGGTTTGGGACAAACATCTGTGTATTGACAGGTATATTGACAGACTTCAGTCTTTCTTCCTCCAAATGAGTTCGTGGAAACTCAGGAAAGGGACCAGAGGTAATTGTTTTCATCTTTGATGAATGTGGATGTTAGGCAGACAAGGAAACTTCAGAGAATAACTTCATTCTGTGTTTTGGTAGAGACAGAGGATTGAGAGAGGGCAGTGGAGAAGGGAAGGTCAGTGAGATCTTAAGCCTTCTTCTTCAGTCTGTTAAAGCCCCACATTTTGTCTGAGCCCAACATTACCCTGTCTGAAACTTCTAGAGAAGTTTCACACACTTAAAGCTGAGTTGGTGGTTTTGGAGAAAAAATTGAGCCAGTAGGTTGGGTGTGGTGGTAGCTCATGCCTGTTGTCCCAGCGCTGTGGGAGGC